AAAGCCTCTAGAGTAGCCTGGGATCTGATGGCAGGGTGGGGAAGCTCAAACAGGTCTGCTTAAACAATGAAGTTTTCATCTCTCCACTCTATCTAATGTTTTTAAGCCAGTGATACTCAACCTTTAGCAGGCTTCAGAATCACCAGAGTAAGGGGTTGTGGGGAAAGGGGGAAGGTGGGCATGCTTCCTAAAAGAGATTGCCAGACCCCAACCCCAAAATTTCTGACTCAGTGGGTTGGGGTGGGGACTGTGAATTTTCCTTCTAACCATCTCCCAAGTGTCACTGCTGCTGGTGGGGTTAGGGACCACACTTTGGGAATCTGCTCTAGGATTTCTCCAGTTTTGGTTGGCTCTGGGCACAATTAATCCAAATATATGAGGCTTTATTGTACTGCATAGGTGATATTGAATATTTGTTTTCCCACAGTTATTTAAAGCATTATAGTTCAGTAATTTTAAAGTTTCAATAAACCCTTTTATTTTACCAAGGTGAAAATACGCCGTATGATTTTAAAATGATGCTATGTCAGCCAGGACATACATAATTTGAGTCTCAATTTGTATTTCTACATTTTCTCTCTCCCTTCCTGCCTCAAACATTTATTTAGTACCTGCTCTAAGGGCCAGGGTATTGCATAAACTAGTAAAGGATAAATAAGTATCTTTGCAGTCTAGTCATGGGAGACAGACATGAAAAAGAAGTGAATACAGTCATGTGTCACATGATGATGTTTTGGTCAGTGATGCACTGTGTATTATGGTGGTCCCATATGATTATAATACTGTATACTTACTGTATCTTTTCTATTTTTAGATACACAAATACTCAACTGTTGTGCTACAACTGCCTACAGTATTTAGTACAGTAATATGCTGTACAGGGTTGTGGCCTAGGAGCAATAGGCTATCCCATCTAGTCTAGACGTATAGTAGGCTATACCATCTAGGTTTGTGTAAGTACAGTCTGTGATATTTGCACAATGACAAAATTGCTTAACATGCAATTCTCAGATGGTATACCCATCATGAAGCCACACATGACTGTACAGTGACAAGTACCAAGGGCTGTGGCAGCAGTATCTGGGTGTACAGTGAGCAGGGCATGATCTTTGCAGGAGGGGTGGTGGGATGGCAGGAAAGGTATCACAGAGTCGGAACTGAGGAGCCAGCATGGAGTCTGTAGCCTAACTAGAAGGGACGGGAACTGCGATGGTATGAATGCCACAGTGTTGTCTTGTTCTTCCTCCTTTGCTTAGTTTAACTTAGAGAACATCCCTAAGCAAAAGGTCTTTGCTATGAAAGGACGAGACCTTCCGGTCATCCTTTCTGGACTGGCTAGGGCTGGGAGTGATTGTGTGGTACTTAACTCAGAAACATAATCCTTTCATTATGTCCTAATAATCTAAACCAGGCTACTTCTCAAGAATTCTCTCTCATGCTTATAAAATGATCACATGTGCTGGGACCACTATATTAGGTTTCAAGAAGTGTGCCTCAATGAGTGGATGGTCATAAGGCATTAGAGAACAGCAGGAAAACAAGGTCTTTAAGTATAGTTTCAAAGTTTTTAAGTACATGGCCCTGGGACTTACTTTTGCATAGAGCCAAAACCCAACTCTGTCACTACCTTTGTGATTTTGGAAAATTTCTTAACATCACTTGAGCTTCAGTTTTCTCATCTGTTCCAATTTTAATTGGAATATGATATAAAATTTTAATGAGGATAAAATAAGATGACATATGAAAAGTGTTTGGCATATTGTAAGTCCCTGGTTACTAAAACAGCAGCAAAATAGGCACAAAGAATAAAAGCATTTGATATAAATGCAGCTTCATCCATCCAGAGATCATATGGAAAGATACAGTAATCTACCAGTACCCTCTAAGAAGTGTTATAAGGAATTGCTTTAAAATTATAAATTATTTGAGACAGATTCACCCTCAAGCCAGAAGAATCACAAGTCTATCAGTGTCTCAGCTGATCAGTACATTGGGAAAATCGAATGATGACAACTCAGCTTTTATTTCTTTTTGATGTCTTGGGTACAAGTGGAACCCTGAACTCACACACATAGCATCAGTGAAAAACTGGTTGAAACTTTTCAATGATTGTTGAGAAAAGAAAAGGTTTTGTTTTAGTGGGATAAACACACTTACTCCACCTACGTTTTGAAAACAGATGTTTCAGAGGAAAAGAAGTTAAGGAAAAGCAAATGAACTCTCCCAAGCAGCCACATCCTATCCATGTGCCCATAGAAAGAAATTAGGAGTATGATTCTCATTTTATTGTCAGAGATCATCTTCAACTCTACTATCTTAAGGAATCTTTAATTTAGGACACTCCTAAATCTGCTTTCTCTGATTTTCTTCGACAAATATAAACATTATTATAATCCTCAGAAAAGATAAAGTAGAGCTGCTTGAGCCAAGAGCCACTTAATAGGTACCAGGCACTAAACTAAGTGCTATATAAACATTAGCTTCATTCAGTCCTCACAACTCAATGACAGGTACCCATTTTACAGAAAAGAAACATGAGGCTTAGAGAAGTTTGTCACTTGTCCAAAGCTTTCCCCTACTATTCAGCTGTATGTTCAAAGCAGAGCTATGAACCCAGTTTCAGAATGAGTGCCTGACCTCACCATTGTGCCGTATGGTCTCACCTGCTGGTTTCAGTCCGCCATGGTGGAGTATCAAATTACACATCAGCCTCCTGTTGCCCAGCACCTGTTGCTGGTCCCAAACGAGATAGGGCTGCAGCTAACATCATGTTAGCAGGATGCCCTGGAAACCCTGCCTGTAGGTGTAGCTACCATTTAACCAGAGCTGGAGCTCCCTGGGTCTCATGCAGGTGTCCAGGGCATTGAGGGTTTAGGGTGATCTCTCTGGGCTTGGGTGACCTCAATTTGAAGTGGATTATTTTCCACTTCCTTGTTTATAATAAAGACTGATCTACTGGGGCCTCGGAAAGCAGCAGAGAGGCTTTGCTCAAGCAGTCCTGCGATGTCTTCTCATGTTTTCTTCTTTAGGTGTTTCAAGAAAGACCCATTTCAGGCAGGAAAACATTCTTTTCTGACCCAAGGAGGTTTTAAAATAATACCTTGAATGTCTTACTTTGAAACTTTGAGGCTTTTGCCTTATTTGGTGATTTTGTTTCTGATATGTGGTGTGTACTTTCCCCATTTCTGTGTAAGAAGGGGGCAAGGTTTGTCACTTGTGCAAAGCTCAGCCTGGGCCCAGTCTGGCCTCTCTTGCATTCTGTGGCCCAGAGCTCCCAGTGAAACAGGCCCGTGTGGTCCAGGCCTGCGTGGAACCTGGGCTGCAGTCACGGTCACTTAGACCACAGAGACAGCCAGCGAGGCTTGTCCTCTAACCAGTGTTTGTTTGTTTATTTGCTTGTACCTACTTTGAGCACATCTTAGATTGTGTTAGTAACTCATAGACAAGAAGAATTTTTGTTTTCCTACAGTGTTTGGGAAATTGTATGTGAAAATTCCTAACTGTGCCATGCATTCTCTCACTTTATTCCTATTAATAATAATTTAAAGAAAAAGAAATAAGACTGTGCCATCCGCTAGTAACAATTAAGGACAATAATATGCATAGAGTACTCTTCTGTTGCTCCTAGAGAGCTAGGGAGTGCAGGATTTTGGCTAAATGGGTAGTATGCCTTTTTTTCTTTTTCTCTCGCAGGGACGCACACACTCCATGCCTGGACATTTTTAGAAATATAGTAGAATATGTCTAATACTAATAATATAATAACTATATACTAAAAACAATGTTCCAGAAGCTGTTTTAAAATATATATGTTTGTAAATTATGTACACATGACTACATAATATATATGTGGCATATGCATTATGTGTATGTGGTACATAGACATTACCCATAACAATCATATTAGAAAGTACCTCTGTCTCCATTTTACAGATGAGGAAGCAGAGGCACAAAGAGATTAGTGACTTGTTCAAGATGAGACACACAGCTGGTAAAAAAAGGGGTTATGTATTTAACCACCAGGTGATACTATTATACCCTCACTACTGGATGCTTCCTGGGTGTCTTAGGAGGCACTTCCGATTTTTGCAGCAACTCAAGAACTCACCAGTAAGAACCTTAGTTAGGAGTTTGAGTTGGTAGAAAAACAATGGACCAATACTTGTAACCTTTCTTCTACAATTTACAAGTTGTATATACTTGGGCACATCTCTTAATGGAATCTCACTATCCTCATCTGTAAAATGGAGATTATGACATCTATCCACATACTTCATAGAGGTGTCATAAAGGCATGTAACATAATGAATCTAAAGACCCCTGAAGACCCTTCAAGTGCTACATAAATATTCAGAAATGGTTCCTTACATGGTCACAGTTAGGTCTGGAATGCTGTGCTAAGGCTTTTTCACTCTGAGCTCAGTGCCCCCTTTCACTCTTCTGTGCTCTATCAGTGTGTCTTTCAAGCAAATTCATATGCTGATCTGTGTTAGTTCCTATTCTGCAGAATTGAGAAGCGTTATACTCACTCTTTAAATACAATCCCCTCACTGCTATGATGGAGAATGTGTTACACCACTAAGGAACCCACCTCTCTTTTTGTTTTTTCAGATTTAAGAAACATTACTTTCCTTTTCTCCTTCTTTCCTAAGAGACTAGAATCCTGTATTGCAAGTGACAGTTCCCTCAATAAATTTTAACCAAGCAGAATCTGGGATGCTCAGAATGGAAGAGGTCTCATGTAAGCTGGACCAAGACTTTACAGATAGGAAAGTTGAGGGTCTTATCTGACATCACCCAGCCTATAAGGCCAACGTGGGCCAAGAGCCCACATGTCCTGACTTCCAGCCCAGAACCAGTTCTGCTTCATGATCCTGCCCCTTGCACTCAGAAGCTGAGGATATTTGTGGTTTGTTTGTTTTAGTGCTTGCTTTTATTACTGATAGCTCTTCTGCAAGAATGCCTCCCCTCTCTAAGCATTTATTCTTTGTTACTTACAGAAGAAGACTGCATAAACTGGGCGTGTCAAAGGTCACCCAAGTGGATTTCCTGCCAAGGGAAGTAGTATCCTACTCAAAGGAGACCCAGACTCCTCTTGCCACACATCAGTCTGAAGGTAAACTATGTCTTCGGCTTACTTTCCTTATTATCTCTGGAGAAATCGCCAGGAAGTAACATCTTCCTTATTGATTTCCTCTTACAATAAGAACTCTTCGTAGGATACAAACTAATAACACTGAAAGCCAAAGGCTCCTCTGACTTTGAAAGCTATGGAGAGGGAACTCAATGATACTCTTCCAAGTGACCTGGCAACTTTAAATTAGATAAACTAAAGAGGTTTATCTCACTACATCGAAATCATGTAAGGAGAACAAAAATCATCAAAGAACAATATTATAGAAATAGTGCTGAATTTTATCAATAAGAATACATTAAGCATACCTTAAGAATCTTAAGCATACATTAAGATTCATCATTTGCATGGGTTAGCAAACTATAGCCCACCACCTGTTCCCAGAAATAAGGTGCTATTAGAATACAGCCACATCCAACCATTGACATCTGTGGTTACTTTATTGCTGCAGTGGCAGGGCTGAGAGGTTGTGAAAGAGACCTTATGGCTCAAAAAGCCTAAAATCTTTACTATAACCTGGCCCTTTACAGAAAACCTTTGCTGACCACTGATTTGGTTTGCCAATTGAGGTGACAACACACGAGAGTTTCTGACCACAATTTAAAAGTATTTTCCCATGCAAACTTCCATTGAGGTGAATGGAAATTGAACCCCATAACTTCTTTGTGTATGCCAGAAAATATCAAGTGAAAAAGTCACATATGGATATCAGAGAATCATAAAAATCCATTCATAAGAGAAGTCAAAGTTGATAAATACCTCCTAGAATTCAAAACTTTATCAGAGCAAGATTATACAAAAGCAGAAGAGGGAGATGTGTATTCTGAAAACAGGATAAGTGAAGGTTTCATTGTTAGAGGCTAACGTTGTTATAGCAAAACAAATCCTCTTTTTACTTTATGTTATTTTATTTTTCGGTGTGGTGAAGAGGATGTTGGAATTCTGGGTTCCTTGTTGTTATGTAGTAAATATGGACAAAAGCCATGAAATACAAAAATGATTAGCATTCCCCACCTGGTGATTTACAAGAAATATAAAAATCAGTGCACTTTTGTTTGTGCAAGCTACAGGTTTTCAGTTTTGGTTCTAAATAAATAATGCCAAAAGCAAAGTGAATCAGATTCCTTGAAGTCCAAGGTGCCGTCAGGCATTCTGAAAATCTTTCCTATACAAACTGTTGTGGGGACAATTCTTTTGTAGCAGGGCCTCCATTTTTCAAGCCCCAGTGAAATGAATTTTAGAAGCAAACAAGTAGCACCCTCTGGTGGTCAGCTTTTAAACCAAGCAACCCAACAAATGAGACCTATATATTAACGTGGCTGAAAATACAAAGTTGGGGGGAAAAGAAAGAAAAGAAAAAGAAAATACAAAATTAGAAAAGCCTGTGAGAGTTCACCTAGTCTATCCTTGGGCCTCCAGACAAGAACAGGAAGATCGTTAAAAAACATCCTCACCACCCAACCAAAACATTTGTTTGACTTAATTTGCTGCCAGAGGTATTTGCAGAGCTGTAGCTGGAGGCATGTTTATTTAGCCCAAAACTTGACCCATAGCATAAAGTTATACAACTGAAATAGGAGAAGGAGTGAATTATTTTTTAAAATGTGTACTTAAGATATTGGAAGTGGTAAAGAAATATTTACAAGGGAAGATAAATTAAGGATGAAAAGGCATCAGCTCTAACGTTTTAAACTGGAACACATCAAAAGGAAAAGGCTGTACATTCCGTTTTATTACTGCAGGGAGAGCTTGGGAGCCCTCATTATGCTGTGGTCCAAGCAGCAGGAAAGGAGGAATTTATTTCTCAGCCATTGGCAGAAGTTCTTTCTGTTTTGTTCACAAGATCCATCAAGCTTTTTTGTGGTAAAGGGCATTTAGATGGTTCAGATTCCACAATACAGAACCCAAAGCTAGCTACCGTAGTTCTTGACATTTAAGCAATCCCGGATGGATTTGGACAGAAAAACCTTTCAATTTGGGTTCAGCAAACTGCCCCTCCCCACAGGCAATGATGCCTTGACCCTTGGCTGCCGGCAGTCACCCGGCTGCCTGACCATCTAGGGTGCTGGTGCTCACTTTCACCTGCTGTGGGAAGGTGGTTGGCAGGAGAGCTGTGCGGAGCAGTGGACACTTGGCAGTGAGGTTCTACCATGCGGCAGATGTGGGCTGGCTTCACTGTGGGGTTTGAGCTGTGGCAATGTTTTCATGACAACTGCGCCTTTCAGTGGCAGAAAACAACTACTGAATTTTATGACACAATGAGGCTCTTGGGTGGCTAACATTTGAAACTGTGGCATATATAACATCCACTTTGGCTTGCTGTTGCCCATAATGTAGGAAGGCATGCTGATTATTTTTTGTCATTGTTTAACTGTGAGCAGTTTAATGATATTCAAACTAATGATCTCAGAGCATTGATTTGTTCTGCCTCTAATGGATTCTAGTGCATTCAAGTTTTTACACATTCCCATTTTACTTTTGAAAATGAAAGGAAGGTACTTTGGATTTGCCCAAGCTTAAGTATTCTTTCTCTACTCTGCACTGCAATGAACGTTCTCATCATAGTGGCTATTAATTTTTGATCATAATGATCTGTTATGAGAAACACTCCAGAGTGTGATATAAACAAGCAAGATATAAGTATAAAGTCTCCATGAATACTGTTCTTTCAACAAGGTTAGACCTTCCTTCTCTCCAAGGAAGGCCGAGAATGGGCAGCACTGACTTGGAGAAGGATACCTTTGCCCCAATATGTTTTAAACACATAATTTTATTCCCAATTAGCAAGAAAGGAAAAAGAAATTATGGTCCCCTCCAAGGCTACCTCTGCGTTGCCTATTATGAACCCATTTCTGTACTGACCATGAGGTCCTGAGCTTAGGGAGCCAGTCTTTTGCATCTTTATTATAGAGAGTAAATGACCGGCTTATCATAAATACCCAAGAAATGCTGTTGAATGACAAAGATAATGCCAGACGTCTCTAGAAAACCAATTCACTATGGTCCCCCCGGGGGAATGAAATTTCTTAATTTGCTGGAAAGATGCAAGTCGCACTGGAGGAAGGAGGAGGAGATTTCCACAACCTGGTGCATAATGCATAGTTTGTTTTGATAGTCACCTGGTATCTTGTGGTCAAGGTTTAATCTCTACTCAGGCCCAGTAGCAAACCAAGACATCTCTCTCAAAAGAAGAGTAGTAATGCAATAAAGAGGCCACATTATTATTCTAAAATCCAAGCACCCCTTCTGTGACTCACCTCTTAGGGACATTTGTTTGATTTCCCATAGACTCTTGGGGCATCATTGGGTCAGCTGGACCATAATTTCCAAGTAGTATAGCCATTTGAGAGTAAAAACTTTCGAACCACTGGGTAAATGGATTGAATAAGTACATGCAAATGTTAAACATGTTGCCTGCAAAACCCAGAATGACCCACTAGGCATTTTGACTCTTAATGTTAGAGAATTGAGGTATTCCCATATACTTTGGAGTTTATCAGATGACTAGACCAATACAGACTTTCTTAAGGTAGTGGATCCTTATATTTTCAAAGATTTTTTCCTCCATCCTCTGGCCTACATAATGTCTTAACTAGGTCTTATAGGTACCAGCTACAGCTTCCTCTCCAGGTTCTGCTGACATGATGCTCCATGTTGAAGGTGAGATTGTCAAGGGCTACAGATACAGAACTGGCTCAGCCCTGATGTAGGATGATGAAGATGCAAAGAGAAAGGAGCTAGGTATTTGGCTGTCAAGCAAGGCTTAGTGTAGAATATGGTTTGGAGGTACTCCCAGGCCTCCGTATTCTTACCTACATTCAATTTCCCATTATTTCCTGATCATTGCTGTCACTTTCACATAGGTCACCTGGTGACACTAGCAATTCCACAGACCTTATTCAGAAACCCACAGAATTTAAACTTTGCTTTTGACTTTGACATTTCTGTAGACACTTATCACAAGCACAGAAAGTCTGTGTGTCTATGCCTAGAGCTAAAATATAGAGACTTGAGCCTGCCATCTATTTCCTAAAGCTGTCCAGTCCCGTTAGAAGTATCCACCTCACCCTAGTGTCTTTAAATTCTTCATGCCATTTACACTATTCAATAGCAATGAAAATTTGATCCCCTAAGTCCTTCTTTTCAATGGACACTCGATTAAAGATCACCATAGAAGAAAAATTATGTAGCTATTTGTTACAGTTGACAGATTCCCATTCCCGAACTCTTACTGAATTTTCACTTCCTTTAGCATCAGCCAGGGCAGATAACCAACATCAGCTTCCCATGTGACTGTCTTGTGATGGTAGTTTCTGTACCAGACTGAGTTTGTGGTTGCTGACAATAGAAACTAACTCTAATTAAATTTAAACAGAAAAAAGATTCGTTGAGAAGATATGAGATACTTAATAGAATTGACCAAAAAAAAAAAAAAAAAGCCAGAGCATTAGGTTTGAAATAAAAAGTAAATTAGGTAGCTGCTATGGACTGGATTGTGTATCCCCACAATTCGTATATTGAAGGCTTAACCCCTAATATGACTATATTTGGAAAAGGGCTTTTAGGAGGTAATTAACGTTAAATGAAGTCATAAGGGTAGGGATCTCTAATTGGTGGCCTTATTAGAAAAGGAAGAGAGAGAGAGAGAGAGAGATCTTTCTCCCTGTGTTTGCATTCACCGAGGAGAGGCTATGTGAGGACACAGCAAGAAGGCAGCTGTCTGCGAGCCAGAAAGAGAGCTTTCACCAGAAACTGAACTGGCTGGCACCTTGATCTTGGACTTCACAGCTTCCAGAACTATGAGAAAATAAATTGTCCTTGTTTAAGCCACCCAGTTTATGCTATTTGTTATGGCAGCCCAAGCAGACTAAGACAGCAGCTAACACAGCAAGATCACACCACTGAACCTTCCTGGTTAGAAGACCTGAGCCTCCTGACTTCCTGTCACTGGATACTCTCTGTTAGGCTCATGATTTAAACTC